TCGGCTCGTGCGCGTTGGAGACCATCGCGTGTTTCGCCGTTGGATCGACGCTCGCGAAGATTATTCTTGTGTTGCCTCGTGCACAAGGCGCTTGCGTGTTGCAGCCGATTGTACAACAAACCTTGAACGTCGTTTTTCGGCAGGTAAACCTCCTCACGCGCACCACTAATCAAGGCATACCCCCCGTTAGAGGAAATTCTCCTGTCTTACCATTTGACCCCGGATCGAGCTGTTGAGATGGAAAGGCGAGGCAGTGGGGTAGGTCGAGAACTGCGAGCGACGGTTGATGAGCTGAACAACGATACTAGAGATTTGTGCAATAGTGTGCGGGCGGACGTTCCTGGTTCCAGTGATGTTTCGCGGCTCCCACTCTGCGGCCACCAGCTAGCCGCTCCCGCCAATTCCCACGGACGTCGCGTGCTCGGAAGTCTGGTGGAATTAATCGTCTCGCACCCCCCCGTACATGCACCTGTCGACAACCCGCTGAAAAATGTTATGCTACTTTCGCTTTGCAGTGTCCAACGCACTCCAAGGCGTCGCGGCATCGCTTCCGGGCGCGACCCGAGTCTTCTGCGGCCACGAGTACACCGTGAGTAACCTGCAGTTCGCCAAGTCGGTGGAGCCGGAGAACTCTGCGGTGTTGGACAAGCTGGATTGGTCGAGGAGGGTCTTGGCGAAAGGGGGCTACACAGTGCCGTCAACGGCAAGTGCTCTTGGGGGGCTGAGAAACGCTCTTGCCGTGTAGATTGGTTGTTGGTACTGTTGTTGCTGTTGGGATTCGTTTTGCGTTATGCTGTTGACATGTGGTATCAGAGTGGCCGTATTATTGGTGGGGAACCCGGGGCCTAAGGCCTTGTCGGCGGAAAGTTCAATATAGAAGTCGTTACTTCTATGACGACGGTGGCCTCGCGAAAAATGTGTGAGAAACGTTGAATTCGGCTGAAAAGGCTTGGTTCGGGTAACCCACGATGGTGCAGGACCATGACGAAGCCTCAGGTTTTGACTCACCTGGCCTTTTTGTATTCAACGCTCTCCTCGGCGATGGGGCGCTCCCAAGCAACCGTTCGAGGGTGCCTTAAAGGTGGATTTGCACCTACCGCCCTCTCACGTGCTTGCTAAATACAATCCTCGCGACGTGTGCTGTTCTTCTGTGCTGGATCAAACGCGTCTCGCGTCTGCAGATATCTCAAGAGCTGAAGCACAACCCTTTCATGCGCGTCGATGAGACGGCCGTGCGAGAGGCCACGGGGAGCGGGGATAGCGTAACCGCCATGAAACGGTTGCGAGAGATGAAGAACAGTTTCCGACCGCCACCTGAAAACCCGGGACGATTCCCCGCACTGTGACGACCACGCCAGCGACGTATGCTACGGGGGACGATGCGCAACGTTCCTACCTTTCGCGATTTCGGGCTCGACCATGCTGTAGCGGCTGCCAGGTTGTGGGTGGATTGGGGGAGTTTGCTTATTAAGGGGAGTCGTCTCCGTTGATGACCGTACGACATTTGACCAGTACTGGTACTGGGCCCCAGTCGGTTTTCTGGCAGTTCCCGACAATTCCAGGAGGAGCAGACGTTACGTTATTTCGGTGATAACGTGTTTAATTTTTAGGACTACTGTACTGTACCCTCCCAACGAAATCCCCTTCGTAATTATCGTCGAGGGAAGATTTTTTGTTTTTTCAAGAAGTAGTCTCTAGACCCGTAGATACATGTCCAGGATGAATTCGCAGTGGACTGAAATCGCTCACGAACTTCCGATACCTGGCCTGTAGACAGCAGGAATTAGAAATTTATAGTGTAGTAGCCAATCACATCCTGTGTTCGTGCATCTCGAAGCACATTCTCTTGCAGGCGGCGGGTGCCTGTCGTTCTGATGTGGAGCTGTCAGTACCTACTCCAGTGCTCCAGGAGGAGTCGTCGCGTTCAAGTCACCGTACGCCAACAACAACAACCCAGAAGCACTGCCGCTGTGTGTGGTGTTCGGCAGTGCCAATATTGGTTGTTCGTAGTGTAAGTCTAGGGGAAATATATATGCGAATTCTGTTTTTTCGATTTTCGAGCCCAATCTGCACACACACAAGAAACAGCAGTGGCCGATAATGCAGGCCCTGGGTGGTTCAGTCGGTCAGTCACCTCGCATCCTTCTGACTTGGACGTGTTTTCGAATTTCGGTGCGGTCACACGAACTGGGATTGGTTGTGATTGTGAGAACAATACTGCAACATTCTCCAACAATGATGAACATGGAAATAGCGATATTTCTACTGTGTACCTACGGTCGACTAGGGTACGGAAAGGCGACAACACCGCAGAAGGAAAGGCGGACAAAATTCATACAGCTCTTGCGTGACCTTCCTGCTGCTGTGTGACCCCGGCTGGTGCGCCCAGAATATTAATTTGTACCGAACGGTGTAATCTAGCCAAGTTCTAAGGACACCTAGACTATGCCGTAAGGACCAGAGGCACCGACGCTCAGAACTCAGAATGTTAAAATGGAAAAATAAAGTTGTTGGAGACACAAGAAGAAGAAGAGGATGAAAAGTCGGCACCGTACATTTTCACTGGTATAAATCATCAGTGTATAGACTTTAAAAGACTCGAAATACGTCCAGTACCCAGCCGGTTTCCCTTCACTCACTGAAAAGACTCCACCACATCCCGTTCGACTGCTGTGGGTATATCTCGAATGGGTAGTCTTTCTGTGTGTGTTTTTATTATTCCTAATACAGCAGTTAGTTCATTTCACCAAAGGTCTACAGCAGTTCGTTGTCTCCACCGCCGCCAGTCCCTTGTTTCCCCCCATGCCTTCTTTCACGCCAGCAGTTTGGAGTTCGACCATGCACTGCTCGGTGCCGGCTGCCGGGTCCATCACCTGTGTGCCTGCAGCGACATTTGATCCGTGTGGCGTGCAAAGACTATGACTATAAATAACCATGGGCAGATGTAGTCTTTGTTGGTGGCGTGTGGCGCATTTTTCGGGGTTACGCAGTATGAAATACGACGGATCCGGGCGCGAATATTTGCAATCCATGGATTATAAAAGAGAACCACAGTCCAAACATCCGGACGGATCGAAACCCCGGGAAACCGCCCGGAGTGTCCCCGAAGAGGTTCTCCTCTCTCCCTCTCAAATTCAATATTATCTCGGAGCCTGGATCTAACGCCCGTTTTCTTCGGAAGCAGAGCTCTCGTCTGCAGCAACAGCCTCAACAGTCCATACTGCCATACTGGCACATATTTCACGCCAAGGCCACCCTTCGCACCCGGGATGCCCAGGAGACGCTAGGCCTCAGAGGAACAGGAGGACACGACGACACACAACGCCCCGTACTTAGAGGAGTGCTCGTCTCTCTCTGTGTGTGTGTCTATCCGCGTGTGGTGCTGCTGTTGTTGTGCGTTTCTGCTGCTGCAAGCAATTGTTGCTGTAGATTTTGTGAACTACATACAGCAGTATTCTTTTTTTGGTAGATATAACCTGCTGCACGGTGCTGCCGTGATGGATGTCAGTCATCATGGGGCCGTCAAAATCTGTAGGCATCGTTTAGTTCGCACACCGCAGGCCCGCTCAACAAACTCGAGACGCGGCTCACACGGTTTTCTTCGCAGAGCACACAGGTCGACAAGCACAGATAGACGCAGAAAAAAACAAAACAGAACAATCAATATCCAACAGCGATTTGATGATAGACTGACCCCCACCAAAAAAAGAAAGGACCTGGATATGACCCCAACACGGCAAAAAAGGGGGCGGAAGAAAGAAAAGAAAAGGAAATGGAACAAAAGAAATAAAAACAGGACAGGAACCAGATGGCCCCATCGAACGCTACACCGCAACAACCAAATAGACATACAAACACAAAATCGACAACATCACAGACGGCGATCGGCGCAAAAACGCCGAAGCGAAAAATAAACAACACACCGAGCCTTGACCTGCCGCCGGGGGGGGACAAAACATCG